AAATATAATTATAGAAAAAAAAATAAATGTACAGAAACTATGTTAATCATAGAACATAGTTCAGGTCTTTTGTGCAAAGCTTATTGTGAGTCATAACCGACTAAACAACACTTAACCACTGCTAAATGAGACTGCTGTTACTGTTGTTGTAAGGAACATTCTTCCACTTTGCAAATCACGCTTTGTCAATGTGCTATATGAGGTAACCTGGGTTTGCTATAACGCTGAACGTGTGCCATGGTGATATCAAATAAAATACAAGAATGGACAGTGTTTGGTGGAGCTCCCAGTTGTAAAACAGGTTGGGAAGCAGTGGCATCCAGTTTCTAAACCACATGCCTCTGCAAACTCTATGAACTTGGAGAAAACAACAATAGTATGGGAAGGCATTAGGTCTTTTGTTCATAGAGTCGGCCTTAACTCTACGGCAATCATCAACAACAATGTAGTTCTGGTGCAAGTGGTTCAAATCTACCAGCTGTTCAGCAGGAGAAAGGCAATCTCTTTCCAACCTATTTACAGCTATGAATTGGTTTTTGACTCAAAGGCACATAACAACAATATATTACACCAGGTTTTATTACACCAATGCTTTGCTAAGCACTCGATAAAAGTCACAATTTCAAAATTTTTCACTGAAATTCAACTGAAAAATTCAGCTCTGAAATTCAGAGAACCCAATTAGAACTTTAATAATTTAACTAAACTTTGCAACTCTCCAACTTACCAATTTTCAAAAGAAGTTGTGACCCACAGAGGTATATTTCCAAAATCACTTAAGTGTCAAGAAGCACAGTAGGAAAAGGCCACCTCTCCTGATACTCACAATCATTCTTTCTATTGTATCAGAAAACTTCATTCACAATTCACAGATGCCCCTATACTCGTTTTTCATAGTTAGGAGGGAAAAATCAGCAGTTAAAAAAAAAAAGAAAGAAAAAGAGCTTTAGAACAAGACCAACCGGGTTTTAGCTCTCTGACATAGTCTCTATTTTATACAGCATTAAGGAAGATTCTAATGAAATAGATGTTCTGGAAGAAATTATATAAAGTACACTCCAAATCAAGTTTTAGTCATCTGAGTGTGTACCTGTTCATGCTTTATGCTCCTGTCTAAAGATTTTTTAATAAATTTGTATCAGAAAACAGCTGAATCTGATAAATTTTGAAATTTACTTAATTCTTGGCAGAAAAACTGCACTGCAATTCCAAAGAATGCAGTTCGAATCCACCAGCTGCTCTGTGGGATAAAGATAGGCAATGTGCTCCTCTGTATTTAACTGTCTCTGAAAACCCACTGGAGGGTCAGCTAGGGATCAGTTCTGATTCGATGGTGCACAAAAACAACTGTATTCTTCAATTACAGTAAAGGTAGAAGGGTATCTAGTATATTAATTAATACATTATTAAAGAAATTCAGGTTGAAAGTATAAATTTTTCTCACAGACTCTTAACAGAAACCTCAAATTCCAGCACCTATTTACAACATTTTCTAAATCTCATGTAAATAATTCTGATAAATCTGTTTCTCATAAACTCCTCTAAGAGTGTAAACTTAAAGCATTCCTAAGTTATGGTTATTTTTAAAGTTTTACATAAATGTTCTATTAGTAAGCCAAAAAGGGAAAATATGCTAATGAAACTTTTCCCCCCAAGATTCTCACCAAATTTGTTTTTAAAATGCTGAATCATAAAGGAAACAGGTAGTGCAAAGAACCCCAATAAAGAGCCCTTCTTATATTTCAAACTTCTTTTTTTTTTATTTTTTATTTTTTTTATTTTTTCAAACTTCTAATTAATCTTGCCACTTTAGTCTTGTTAGGCACTTAGAACCAAGAAACCGAAGAACTTAAGTAACTTGAAATGCCAAGTTCACTCTCAAAACATTTAAAGTCACTGCTGCTGATTCAGAACTTACTGCTGATTTTCCAGCAGGTAAATCCAAGAAGAGACTGCCATAATTTTCTCTCAGAGTGGCTATGGATTTGAACTGCCAGAGAAGCAGGGTCTCTGGGCTGGTCTGCTTCTGTGAACTTCCAATACATAGTGACCCTACAGGAAACAGCAGAACTGCCCCAGTGGGTTTCCAAGTTTATAAATCTGTATGGAATCGCACTGTCACAGTTTTCAAATAGGTTCGTATTAATAATCTTTCTATTACCAAGAGCTTAACCACTTCACTACCAGGGGTCCTTGAGGAGAACTAAGACTAACATTTATTTCTGCAAGTTCCTACACTTTCAACTTCCTGGTTTACTTAGACAGCTCATCATGACCATTTCGGGTAACACAGCACACGTTTTAAAAACTCAACTTCCTCTTTACAAAGTGATAAAAACTTCAGCAGTTAGTTATGAGAATGGCTGGGTTTATATACTTCTGCAGAAATACTTGCAAGAAAATTAGAGATCATTATCAACAAATTTAACTCAGGATTTGCTGGGTTCAGAAAAATGTAACAAATATAAACAGCAGTATTAATTTATTTGACATCATGACATGTTTCAGGTCTAAAAACAAAATGCAGTTGAGATCTAAATGAAAGAAAAAAGTGGGAATGTTAGAACTTCAAGAAACATCAAAATACAAAGTAGGGCTCAAAAATATCTTTATATTTAAAATCCGTTTTTAATGATGCTTTGGGGGAAAATAATTTTATGGGTTACTAGTAATCTACGAATTCAGTGAAAAGTAATTGGGATACAGGAGGAAAGGGGAGCAAGGCAGGTTTGAAGCTGAAGCAATGAATTAATTTTACTATGTCAAGGTCTTTTCATTTTACTTACCAATTCATAATAGAAATACAAATCACTTGTTTCATCACAATATGGGATAGAGTGTAACAAAAACTTAGTAATTTCAAATAATATGGATTTGTTATATGAGATTTTTACTGCACTAGCTATTCTTATTTACTCAAGTCAATGAAAACAACGCAGGTGATCTAAAAACTGTTTACTTATTCATTGTAAAATTTGCCATTTTTGCTAGTGTCTTTACTAGCTTTTATATCATTAAAATTGAGCAACATTAGTATTGAGATAGGAGGAACTGGTCACAGATCTGCTGCTCAGAAGAATTTTGTTATTAAAAGATAATTTATGTCATTAAGAAAATAATTTTTTTTAAAAAAAAGAAAATAATTTTTTAGTGGCATCATTCACTTTGAAATACATATGTATTTCTCCAAGTTTAATAAAAAATGCATTCTGAACTAGTGTCAAAGAGAAAAACTGATCAACAATGCTAGTATCACTGACATAGTAAACTTAAAAATCTATTGTTATCTAAATTCTTAACAAAATTTTGTTAACAATTTTAGCTTAAAATAAGTGAACTTAAGTTGGGATAACAAAATATTTTGTTATCCTATCTTTTCAGTCATTTATTTAATTTTATATGAATAATTAGTTCCCTTAATATATTTTATTAGTTTTTATCTGGCATAAATTCAGTAATACGGTGCCTTTCCCCCTAAAATTTTACTAACTTTAATGAATCATCTTCAAATAAAGTTTAAATTAAGGTGGTGTTCACTGTTTTGTGTTTAGCACATTCTTTAGCATTCTGAAATGGCATATACAACAAGCAGGTGTATCAAATTATTATTCTGTATTAAAGATTAATCCTAATCTCTTGTATTAGAAGAGCGAGCCCAGACACATTTACAGAGCATTCAAGTGTAAATATTCTGAAACAGCCACCATGGAAACAAGACCTTATAAATGCAAAACCCCAGGAGTTATCTAGTGAGATATTTCTAATTTCTATGGGCCTTAAAAACCATATGTTTACTGCAAAGCCTGACAAACTGTCAAAAAAAGTTGTACAGATGTCAAGAAATAGTGATTCCACTTAGCTTACAATATTCTTGTATTTAAGACATTTTCAAAGAAATAATACAAACCGCACACACTGACAAACTTAACTTCTACCAATGATACCTCAGTAGAGCATCAGACAAAAAAGGGATGCTTTTTACAGATTTGCACGTGATAATAAAAGCTTTATGGTCTATATATCCTTTATGTGCTAAAAGAGTAACCCAACAATTATTCTCGATTTGTTAACACGAAGCCTGAAACTGAAAACTATTACCAAAAAAACCCCTATCTTTGAGAAACTATATAAACGAAATCAAGAAAGTCCAAAGCCACACTGCTCTTGAGTTGATTCCAACTCAGAGAAGACCCCATGGATCAGAATAGAACGGCTCCACTGGGTTTCTAAAGCTACTATCTATGCAAGCAACATCGTTTTCCACTGGAGTGGGTGCCCGGTAGGTTTGAACGCTTGACCTTTAAGTTGACAGCCAAGCGCTTTATTCAAGGCGCCACCACGCGCACCTACGCGGGCGCGGGGGGAGTAGGGAATGCCTTCAAATTCTGCAGCAAATGCCTTGAAGGTTACATATTTATCACAATCAATGAGTTAAACCGGCCCGTGAGTAAAGTGGTGGATGTCTAAGTGCACCGGGCAGACAACACATCGGGACCTTTCCCTGTCAAGGAGTCCTGACAGCTCAATCACTTCCTGAGCAAGGAGGAGCAAAAGGGAAGTTAAGAAGCCACTCTGATCAGGAAGTGACTCGCCCCAATCCTATCTAAAAATGGGGGATGGGTGCGCCCCAACAGCTAAAGGCAGTAAAGTGACTGCTTCCTGACGCGTCGCAACATTACTACAGCCTCCTCCCATAATGACAGATCAAAAGGAGTCCTCGGGATTCTACACAGAAAAGTCTCTTCCCTCGCAGCAAGGCCAGTGAGTTGTGCGTTAGGCCCAAAAGAAGCCGAGAATAGAAGAACGGGGAACGGGGCACCGTGAGGCAAAGGGTAACCCCTTGAGAAGGAAGTGTCCCAACTGCAGACAGCGTGTGCACAGACTACGAATCTTCTTTTTCCTGGGGACACTGACAGAGTTCTCACCGCAGTAGGATAGGGCCTCTCTCCTTGTCGGGGGAGGAGGTCAGATAGAGAGGGAGAGAAAAGCGGACCCCTTACCTTCTCCTCATCCGACACCCGATCCTCGAAGTCGGCCATCTTGGGCTGCTCTGGCCCAGCCCGGTCAGGGCGCAAGGCACGCCGGGAGGAAAGCTGAGGGATAGCATCACCGCGGGGGCGGCCAGAGCCATCCTCCCGGAAACGCCGACGGACTGGGCGCCATATCAGTTACGGGCGGGATAAAGGAGCTGACTCTCAGAACTCTAGGAAATCCCGTTTGCCTAAAATGATTTTAAATCCAGTACTTTCTTGCTGAGTTGTTCGCTTCCCTACTCTTTTATTGGGAGCTGGGCAACGTGCTTCGACTGCTTTTGGTCCATAAGCTCTAGACTCCATCGGACCAGCAGCAGACCCTCTCGAGTTTCCCCAGTTTCTCTACGGCAGCCACGTGGAAAGCTTTAAGTGCTGCTCGGCTTCTGGAATGAGCCATGGCTTTTCCATCTTTAGGAACGGGCTGAAAGGGGTCCCTCACCTTGAATAGAAGCAAAAGCACTTTACTCCGGAGTTAAATCTCAGTCCAAATTAGGCGCTGTTATCCGCCCCTTCCCTACGCCGAAGAACTACGTAGCTTCAGGCTTGTGACGTTCCAGCATCCAAATCTCGAATTTAGCTCCATAGGCTTGTCCTCACGTAGGCCAACTACAGGTCCGCCACTATCCCAGGATTCCTGACTCCGGGTTTCCTGCCTTTCTCCCCTCGTAGCATCGCGCGCCTGCGGAAGCAGCAAGATGGCGGACGTTGACAGCCTGCGTGAAACAGGCACCGCCGCGGCCTCTCCTCCAGCACTTGCTCTGGGCCTCAACCCGCCGCTGGGCTGGAGGGAGCGCTTGCGGGCCGGGTTGGCGGGGACTGGGGCCTCGATGTGGCTCGTGGTGGGGCTGGCTCTGCTTTACGTTCTGAGGGTCCCGCTGAGGCTGTGTGAGAACTTGGCAGCGGGTGAGCGGCCCAGACCTCCCCGGGGACTGACAAGGGCTAAGAGAGGCGCCGGGGGCGAGAGGGCCCAAGGGCAAAAAGTACCCAGTTGAGTGCTTCAGAGAATGACGGGATAACTCACGGCCCAGTAGGTTCTTTTTCAGTGGAGCTGCAGCCGCGCAGCTGATCGTCAAAACTGAGCTGCAACTACCGGCTCCTCCCCAGAGCGCTTAGGATCCGCCCTCTTCAGTCCTAGTTTACCCTCCAGACAAGCTTGTAAATTTCAGGTGCTAGACCGGAATAGAGATCTTTTCAGTCTTGGGTATACATGTTATATGCACCTCCACATTGGTACAGTCCCTTAAAGGTTGATTCTTTAAGTCTCCTGACTCCAGTTTAAAGAATTCACGTCTAGTAAAAAAGGAACAAAGATCTCAAAAAAAGGACATAACATGATGATCCTAATCCATTATTTAAAATAGTTCGACCAAGAAATAGGTTTCATGATATTTTTGTTTATTCTTAATTTTTTGCTTTATTTTGATTAATAGAACAATAAAGGACGTAGAACTTCAAACATCAATATAGTTATTTGTTCTGTTCATTCTTTGAACATCTGTGGAGCACTTGTAATATGGACGATACAAAGACATGTACGAAGAGGTGGCCCCGCTGGATTCTGCAAATACTGTTTACAGGACAAAGTGGATGAGTTGAGAGCCTCTTACCAAATCATTGGTCAGCATAATCAGCAACTTAAGAACAAGACAGAAGTTCAGTTAAAAGTGTTGTTTTTGTCTAGAGTTGGAGCTCTGGTGGCTTACGGTTGACTAAGATCATCATGATATGTCCTTTTTTTTGAGAGCTTTCTTCATCGTGCCAACATAAAGGTACCGGGGTTTGACTCCACCAGCTTCTCCATGTAAAAAAGATTATCAGTCTCCTCCCGTGCGATTTCCTGCCTCTGGAAATCCATCTGAGAATCAGCTATGGGTTGGTTCTAACTCAACAGTACACAGCAACATCTTATATGAAGAGACAAATGTCCCGTTTTCTATTCCATAAGATAATATACTATGATAAAATGATCTGAAATATTCTGAACATTTCAGAACAAAGATTTAATGTAAATTAAGACATAATTTACACAAAAACAGTCTAAATAAATAGACCTTCCTAGACTGAAAGATTTATTTTGCCATTCTTTGAAACTAGTAAAGTTTTTGTTGACACTGAATTTTTCATTTTATCATTACATACTCTTTTATAGATGAGAATAATTAACTACTATAGATTTTTATATTTTAAAAAGCTGAAATATTTATAAGATAGTGTTTGAAATGAAAAATTTCACAGTGTATTAAGGGTAGAGATCTTCTAGTTGCTATTCTCAGAATTATTTTGCTACAGTTTTGGCATACTAAATTCCTATAATGTCTCCTCTAAGTCAGAATTTGGTTATAAATTGAAACACTGGTATGTAGAGAGTGTTTTTTTAAGCTCCTTTGTAAAATATATTTCTTTAGCTTCTCATCCTTAAAGATTTGCAAAAGTTTAATTGTAAAATCGGGCCTGTGATCTTTTTGTTTTATTCTCAAAAGCAAATTAAATTACTTGATTTACTGCTAATTAAAGAAAGTAATAATAAAAAATTCTACCATTCCATGTTTGAGTTCATTCTTAAGATATAATGAGGATTTAAACTTTTTTTTTAAATACAATTTTTAAAACTGAATCCATGTTAGATAGTAATTATACTTAACTCTTTCCTTTCCTTCAGCATATTTGTAACATGAATACTTGGAAATTTTGTTTAAAATTTTTTCTTTTTTTTCTTTGACAGTGACAGTATTTTTAAATTCCTTGACACCCAAATTCTATGTGGCACTTACGGGGACATCATCTTTGATATCAGGACTAATATTTGTGAGTAGTTTTCATTTCTTTCATCCATATTTTGCTATTTATCCCAAGATCAAATACCTGTGTGTGTTACAATAAGTGCTTTTATATCACAGTTCTAAAATTCAAACTTTGACAAATAAATTACTTATTCAAAGGAATTTAGGGAACACTGCATTTCCCTCTCCAGGCTTAGAGATTGGCAGTAGCATTTCTGGATAAAAGTATTTATTGGAAACAACAATGCACAAGTTTCAAATGCTTACAGGTCCCTGATTGGTAAGAAAAATTAGTAAAATGGGCAGAGTGTAAGAAATAATTTAAGTACTGAGAATTTAGAGAGTTCTGTTCCCAGAGGGATTAAGGTTAATTGTCATGTAGATGTGATTATCAGATCTTCCAGATTTTTCAAATAATTGCAAGATAATTTGGATAAGCATTTTTTTTATATGACATCTCTCAGTATCTTAAAGTTGGCAACAATGGACAGACTAAGTATTATCTGTCTTGAATCAAGATTGTTGTTATTATATCTACAATATTTACGAACAGGGTTCTGGAGGGAGGCAAACTATAATGTAATAGCTGTGTGACACTGAACAAGTTAGCTTTTGTAAATCTTATTCTTCTCATCTGTAAAATCAAGGTAACAATATTATCCACTCTCATGGGTCCAGTGGGAGACCTGCTCACTCTTCAGCTGATATACCTCAAGTATAGCTGCTTCTTTGTGGAGACATGAATGTGACTGTGATGCTCAACAGCTTTCAGTGGTGCTTTCAGGCTAAGGCAGGCTAGGAGGAAAGGCCTTCTGTGCAACTTCCAAAAATCAGCCAATGAAAGCCCAGTGGATCAGATTGATCTAATCATGTTCATGGGATGACCATTAGCCAGACTGACCCAAGGGAAGGTAACAACCAAAATTAGAACTGTGAGAACTAAACAAGATAATGTGTGTAAAGGCTTTAATTTGGCTGACTCAGAGTGAGCACCAACTGATTTTGACTACTATTATTCAAGGAAGTCCTGCAGTAAAGAAGCTTTCATTTTCGTCTTTTAATAGGAACAAATGTACATTTTCACTTTAAAGACTTTTCAGAAATTTTAAAAATCAACTACCATCCTTGGGGAGTTTCCTGCTTTAAACTTTGGGAAATATTGCTATAGATAAAACTATTAAGAAGCCGTGTTTTGTATGACATGCCTACTCAATTTTTCCATTCCTTTTTGTCATCCCTAGGTGGTGCTCTCCAGCTGTAGTATAAAGAACAGATTTGTATTAGAGTCTTTCCAGTCCCTCTCCCCCCAGATCCCAAAGTTGGGCCGAATGATAGCTTTTTAAAATTAAATGCCTAATTTAAAAAAGAGAGAGAGAGGATTTTTTTCCCCTCTTGATTTACAAAAAAAGACGTTTTTGAGACATGTAGGAGAGATGTCTTAGTTGTCTATGCAGCTGTAACAAAGATACCACAAGTGGGTGACTTCAATGAACAAAACTTTATTTAGTAATCTAGAAGTATAATTCAGGATGCTTCCTGTAGAGAATGACTCTCTTTCTGTTTGATATATGAGAAGGTCCTTTTTATGCGTCTACTCCCAATTTCCTGGTGCTCAATCATGTGACAGGTATTATGTGCTTATAAGTGATATCACTTATCACTTACCGCCTCTGTACGTGCTTACTTGCTTGATGTGCTCTTTCAGATTTCAAAAAAGATTGATTTTAAAACATGGCATACTGGATGGCTCTAGTAAAAGAGTCAATAAGGAGCTCCACTGCTAACTCCCAACTGGACAATCTCCTCCTATATGATTTACAGCCTCAGAAACCCACTGAAAGGTCAGCTATGAGTCAATTCTGACTCCATAGCAATGAGAGTGAGAGAGAATACTAAAATTACCTCACTAATGTGACCACAGGTATGGGGTAAGGATTTACAATACATATTTTGGAGGGACACAACTCAATCTATAACAAAAATGGAAACTACATGTTAATATCTCACTCATTATTAAGCACATTTTTGGCATATTAGACTCTCTAGTGGTGCTATGGTTAAGCCCATTCATTTCCTAACCAAAAGATTTGCAGTTTGAACGCACCAGCCACATCATGGGAAAATGATAGCAATCTGCTTCTGAATAAGATTTACACCCTTGGAACATCTACAGGGCAGCTCAGCCCTAACCTAGAAGGTTGCTCTGAGCTGACATCTACTTAGTGGCGGTTAGTGTAATTCTTTAACTTAACAT